CTTGACGCCTTTCGATGACTTTGATGGACCATGAAAGTAATGGACCTGACGGCCCAATACGACATTAGGCCCAACTAATGTCCATTTTTTTATTTAATCAAAATTTAAAAAAAAAAACAAAAAAAATATTATTCTCCCATCCATACCTCGATCCCCCATCTTGTCTCGTAAACATCTCTACATTAAACGAAAAAAATAATAATAATAATCGAGACCCCGACTTTCATCACAGTTATTGATTTAGACATGTATCATCGATTTACAACATGTGAGCATCAATTTGAGCATTACAGAAACATGTATTTTAAATCAAAAGTTCAATGGTTTGAATTCTCCCTCCTCGGATGTTATTTTTATCTAATAAAAATAATCTTTAGTACCTATAGTTGACCCACGAAGCTTATTCGCTCCAACGAGGGTTGGGAGTATTAAAAGCCAACAATCCAAATAACTTGAGAAATCCAACTAGAATCTCGAGAATTTCGTACAAATTTTAAGAGCTGGTTGATCTCACTTTTTATTTTATTTTATGCCTCAATTCTCTTTCTTTCGAACCGAGTCCAACGTTGATGAAGCACGACCTCAATATCATCCACTAAGAGACTAAATTGAAATTTTTAAATCAATATCGAGTAAATCGAAAAAAATATTTAAATATTTAAACTTTGTATATTTAGCCCTAATAATTATGTATATTTATATTATAATTTAACCTACATTATTCTCTCTCTTCAAAGTTCATGTTTTTAGACAGAGAATAAATTTGGACAAAAAAAAAAAACAGTACTAATAATAACTCAAACAGAAAGAAATGAAATAATTTTTAATTAAAAAAAATCATTAATGATTTTAATTCATAAGTCTTTCATGTCGAGAAATCAAATTAAGAGCATCGAACTATTTACGAAACAGGGAGATGAAGGGATCATCATCCATTTACGAAGTTCCAATTTTGAACATTGATGACAATAATTCTCGGAAGATTTCGCTTGGGTCCAATGGCAGATTGTTTAATTTCTCTGATGAACGTAGATCCTACATTCTTCTAGCGACTTCCCTGCAAATTTTATTCGTATACCATCATCAATTTCTCTGCTACCTGTTACATTCTTCTAGCGACTTCCCTGCAAATTTTATTCGTATACCATCATCAATTTCTCTGCTACCTGTTCGAAATTTCATCCTCTTTTAATCTCAGTGTATTTTCGATGTCGTAATCCAATAATTCGTTGAGGGAATTTACCTGTTCGATGCTACCATCTTCGATCTCGGTGTTGAAGGAGAGAAGCAGGTGTTCATAGGGAATTTACCTGTTCGATGCTACCATCTTCGATCTCGGTGTTGAAGGAGAGAAGCAGGTGTTCATGGAGCAAATTTTCCAGATCGTCCACGTACAGGGGAGCTGCAACGGAAGGAAGCATAGCGGAATTAGATCCATGGAAGAAGATCGAGAAACTCCGGAAGGTAATTTAATGGACGGCTGAATAAGGATAACAACGTTTGGATTGAGAGAACCAAGTGAAAACATCTGAGGCGAGATTCAGCGATTTCTGGTGAGAATCGCCACCGCCCCATTTGTTATCAATGGCCATTTGAAGGCCGTCCCACCGAGAAAACACCGACGATATAGCCATTTGGAGACTGGAGATAGATCCTGCCTTGTGATTGGTTGAGGTTAATCCATTATTTGGCTCCATGGATAAACCTCAGAGCTTCGTCTTCGTCTTCGTCATTGGTTGAGGTTAATCCATTATTTGGCTCCATGGATAAACCTCAGAGCTTCGTCTTCGTCTTCGTCTTCTCCTTCCTCCAAACCCTAGAAATCTTATTTTTCTTTCTCCTCTTCTAACTGAATCATCAGAGAGAGAGAGAGAGAGGGCGGTTGAATTGAGAAATTAATGGCAGAATCGGGCGGAGAGAAAAGCGAGAGAGAGAGAGAGAGAGGGCGGTTGAATTGAGAAATTAATGGCAGAATCGGGCGGAGAGAAAAGCGGAGAACTGTTTGGATGGAAAGAGAGAGAAACATTTGGGACTTTTTTTGCCACTCCGTCGTCATTTGAACCGTCCTCGTCGCCGGCTCTGTCCAAAACAATCGTTTTAATTCTGCTCTGTTCGACCCAATGACTTCACCTCCACTGACCTTCGCATGGCCATGACATGCAAACAGCTACACGATTAAGGAGGGATCAATAAACGATGCCACTGACCTTCGCATGGCCATGACATGCAAACAGCTACACGATTAAGGAGGGATCAATAAACGATGTCTTAGTCGGGTGCAGTGCCGTCGACATGTTCGCGAAATTGGGTGTTAGTGAGGATGCGTGCAAGTTGTTCGTTGAAATGCCTCACCGAAACCTCGAGACGTGGAATGCGTATATATCCAATTCTGTGCTCCATGGGCGGGCTGAGGTCTCTACCATTGCATTTATTGAGCTACTTCGAGTTGGTGGGAAGGCAGATTCAATAATGTCTGTGCTTTTCTCAATGCGTGTTCAGAGAAACTAGGCTGGGTGCATTGGTGTCAGCTACATGGGTTCATTATTCGAAGTGGGTGTGCGCAGAATGTCTCTGTTTCAAATGGGTTGATTGCTTTTTATGGGAAATGTGGGGAGGTTGAATGCTCTGAGATGGTTTTTGACAGGAATACGTTGTTGGGCGGATACGCAGACAAGGCTGTGGCATTGCTCGAGGAGATGGCATCGATGGTGGGCATGGCGCCGAGCTATGTAAGCTTGGTTTGCGCATTATCAGCTTGCAGTAGAGTAGGAGATTTGAAGATAGGGATTGCAGATTTTCTTAGTCCATGAAAGCAAGGTTTAGTACGTACCCAAGGCCCGGCATTAAGCTTACTCGGTAGTTCTTGGTGTTGGTTTGGGCTGTTATAAATGGTATCAAAGTCATGTAAGCGTTGGTGAGTCAATGAAGACGCTGGCCCTATGAGTTGTATTGTTAGGTCCCAAATCAGTTGGAGAAAGAAAGAAATGTTCCTTATTCTTGAAACTTATGTCTAGTAAAGACGTTTTAAATCATGAGGCTGACAGCGATATGGAACGGACTAAAATGAATAATATCTGCTAGTGGAGAGTTTAGACTGTTACAAATGGCAGAGTCATTCGAGCGGCGGGTCAACGAGAATGCTAGCTTCTAAAGGGTGGACTGTTAGGTGTCACATCGGTCTAAGGGTGGATTGTTAGGTGTCACATGTACGTAACCACGTGTGGTTGGGTTATAATTTCTCAAGTTTTCCCCCATTCACCATCTGTACATAACATCATCAAATTGCCATCCTTCCCTCTGCATTCAACACTTGTCCCAACAAAGCCAACCCACCGCAACTGCTTCCCCACATCAATCCCTTCAAACAGCGCACAACAAAATCCAGCTGCCACTGCAGAAAGAAACCTCCCATACTTATTTTTATTTTATGTTGATAACATGAGTTGGGAACAGCCACGTAGGGGTGAAGAACAGCGGCAGCCTCGCCGGAACGACGTCGACGAGGGGGAGGAAACCATCAAATACGGCGACGTTTTCAACGTCTCCGGCGACCTGGCTGCAAACCCCATCGCACCNTACCATAATCATAACTTAACATTATAACATTGTTGAGAAAGAATGGAGACAGCAGGGGGATCAAGCAGCGAATAATTTTCGCAGGAATAAGAAAATGTAGAAGAACACAGCAAGACGCATAGGAAGTTGGGAACTCGAGCGAAAAGTTCCTACGGCCGAACGGAGGAGTGAAAGAGAAAGAGGGGCGAATTGCTTGACGCCTTTCGATGACTTTGATGGACCATGAAAGTAATGGACCTGACGGCCCAATACGACATTAGGCCCAACTAATGTCCATTTTTTTATTTAATCAAAATTTAAAAAAAAAAAACAAAAAAAATATTATTCTCCCATCCATACCTCGATCCCCCATCTTGTCTCGTAAACATCTCTACATTAAACGAAAAAAATAATAATAATAATCGAGACCCCGACTTTCATCACAGTTATTGATTTAGACATGTATCATCGATTTACAACATGTGAGCATCAATTTGAGCATTACAGAAACATGTATTTTAAATCAAAAGTTCAATGGTTTGAATTCTCCCTCCTCGGATGTTATTTTTATCTAATAAAAATAATCTTTAGTACCTATAGTTGACCCACGAAGCTTATTCGCTCCAACGAGGGTTGGGAGTATTAAAAGCCAACAATCCAAATAACTTGAGAAATCCAACTAGAATCTCGAGAATTTCGTACAAATTTTAAGAGCTGGTTGATCTCACTTTTTATTTTATTTTATGCCTCAATTCTCTTTCTTTCGAACCGAGTCCAACGTTGATGAAGCACGACCTCAATATCATCCACTAAGAGACTAAATTGAAATTTTTAAATCAATATCGAGTAAATCGAAAAAAATATTTAAATATTTAAACTTTGTATATTTAGCCCTAATAATTATGTATATTTATATTATAATTTAACCTACATTATTCTCTCTCTTCAAAGTTCATGTTTTTAGACAGAGAGAATAAATTTGGACAAAAAAAAACAGTACTAATAATAACTCAAACAGAAAGAAATGAAATAATTTTTAATTAAAAAAAATCATTAATGATTTTAATTCATAAGTCTTTCATGTCGAGAAATCAAATTAAGAGCATCGAACTATTTACGAAACAGGGAGATGAAGGGATCATCATCCATTTACGAAGTTCCAATTTTGAACATTGATGACAATAATTCTCGGAAGATTTCGCTTGGGTCCAATGGCAGATTGTTTAATTTCTCTGATGAACGTAGATCCTACATTCTTCTAGCGACTTCCCTGCAAATTTTATTCGTATACCATCATCAATTTCTCTGCTACCTGTTCGAAATTTCATCCTCTTTTAATCTCAGTGTATTTTCGATGTCGTAATCCAATAATTCGTTGAGGGAATTTACCTGTTCGATGCTACCATCTTCGATCTCGGTGTTGAAGGAGAGAAGCAGGTGTTCATGGAGCAAATTTTCCAGATCGTCCACGTACAGGGGAGCTGCAACGGAAGGAAGCATAGCGGAATTAGATCCATGGAAGAAGATCGAGAAACTCCGGAAGGTAATTTAATGGACGGCTGAATAAGGATAACAACGTTTGGATTGAGAGAACCAAGTGAAAACATCTGAGGCGAGATTCAGCGATTTCTGGTGAGAATCGCCACCGCCCCATTTGTTATCAATGGCCATTTGAAGGCCGTCCCACCGAGAAAACACCGACGATATAGCCATTTGGAGACTGGAGATAGATCCTGCCTTGTGATTGGTTGAGGTTAATCCATTATTTGGCTCCATGGATAAACCTCAGAGCTTCGTCTTCGTCTTCGTCTTCTCCTTCCTCCAAACCCTAGAAATCTTATTTTTCTTTCTCCTCTTCTAACTGAATCATCAGAGAGAGAGAGAGAGAGGGCGGTTGAATTGAGAAATTAATGGCAGAATCGGGCGGAGAGAAAAGCGGAGAACTGTTTGGATGGAAAGAGAGAGAAACATTTGGGACTTTTTTTGCCACTCCGTCGTCATTTGAACCGTCCTCGTCGCCGGCTCTGTCCAAAACAATCGTTTTAATTCTGCTCTGTTCGACCCAATGACTTCACCTCCACTGACCTTCGCATGGCCATGACATGCAAACAGCTACACGATTAAGGAGGGATCAATAAACGATGTCTTAGTCGGGTGCAGTGCCGTCGACATGTTCGCGAAATTGGGTGTTAGTGAGGATGCGTGCAAGTTGTTCGTTGAAATGCCTCACCGAAACCTCGAGACGTGGAATGCGTATATATCCAATTCTGTGCTCCATGGGCGGGCTGAGGTCTCTACCATTGCATTTATTGAGCTACTTCGAGTTGGTGGGAAGGCAGATTCAATAATGTCTGTGCTTTTCTCAATGCGTGTTCAGAGAAACTAGGCTGGGTGCATTGGTGTCAGCTACATGGGTTCATTATTCGAAGTGGGTGTGCGCAGAATGTCTCTGTTTCAAATGGGTTGATTGCTTTTTATGGGAAATGTGGGGAGGTTGAATGCTCTGAGATGGTTTTTGACAGGAATACGTTGTTGGGCGGATACGCAGACAAGGCTGTGGCATTGCTCGAGGAGATGGCATCGATGGTGGGCATGGCGCCGAGCTATGTAAGCTTGGTTTGCGCATTATCAGCTTGCAGTAGAGTAGGAGATTTGAAGATAGGGATTGCAGATTTTCTTAGTCCATGAAAGCAAGGTTTAGTACGTACCCAAGGCCCGGCATTAAGCTTACTCGGTAGTTCTTGGTGTTGGTTTGGGCTGTTATAAATGGTATCAAAGTCATGTAAGCGTTGGTGAGTCAATGAAGACGCTGGCCCTATGAGTTGTATTGTTAGGTCCCAAATCAGTTGGAGAAAGAAAGAAATGTTCCTTATTCTTGAAACTTATGTCTAGTAAAGACGTTTTAAATCATGAGGCTGACAGCGATATGGAACGGACTAAAATGAATAATATCTGCTAGTGGAGAGTTTAGACTGTTACAAATGGCAGAGTCATTCGAGCGGCGGGTCAACGAGAATGCTAGCTTCTAAAGGGTGGACTGTTAGGTGTCACATCGGTCTAAGGGTGGATTGTTAGGTGTCACATGTACGTAACCACGTGTGGTTGGGTTATAATTTCTCAAGTTTTCCCCCATTCACCATCTGTACATAACATCATCAAATTGCCATCCTTCCCTCTGCATTCAACACTTGTCCCAACAAAGCCAACCCACCGCAACTGCTTCCCCACATCAATCCCTTCAAACAGCGCACAACAAAATCCAGCTGCCACTGCAGAAAGAAACCTCCCATACTTATTTTTATTTTATGTTGATAACATGAGTTGGGAACAGCCACGTAGGGGTGAAGAACAGCGGCAGCCTCGCCGGAACGACGTCGACGAGGGGGAGGAAACCATCAAATACGGCGACGTTTTCAACGTCTCCGGCGACCTGGCTGCAAACCCCATCGCACCACAGGATGCTCGCATGATGGGCAGTGCCGAAACCAGGGTATTGGGGCAAGTGCCGCCGGCTGGTCCGGCCGATATCATGCGAGCCGCCGCTGCTTATAATGTCCGGGTCGGTCTTCTTGGTGACCGTGATGTTAGCTATGCTGCTAAAAACGAAGGCATCAACATTAGCGAGACCGATATTCCCGGAGCCCGTGTCGTAACCGAACGCGTCGCCGGACAGGTTCCCATCTTGAATTTCTCCGATCAATTCATCTCTTTCTTTATCTTTTGTTAAAATTACCAGTTGGGTTCCTTCATTTTTAGATTAAAACTTATTTTCACGTTCAAAAAAGTAATTCATTTGTTGGTGGGTGCTTGATTTTTGAAGGTCGTCGGCCAGTATTTGGACACCACGACGGCGATTGAGACAGAGACGACAGAGCAGAATGTAATAACGATCGGAGAAGCACTAGAAGCGGCGGGTCAAACTGCCGGAAACAAACCGGTGGAACAGAGTGACGCTGCAGCAATTCAAGCCGCAGAGGGCAGAGCAACCGGTAGCAATGCCATATCTCCCGGTGGGCTCACAGCCACAGCTCAATCGGCGGCGAGTTTCAACGCCGGGATGATTCGAGACGAGGACAAGATCAAGCTCAACTATGTCCTAATGGTATCAAGCTGATAAACTTCATAAAATTAAAGAACAATACTTCTTCTCTGCTTTGGGTAGTGATATTGAATTACTTTTTAATTATTGGGACTAACAGGGTGCAAAAGGAAAACTGGCGACGGACAAGCCAGTGAGCCGGAAGGATGCGGATGGGGTGGTGAGCGCGGAGCTGAGTAACAATCCAAACTTGATCACTCACCCAGGTGGGGTGGCGGCCACCATCACCGCCGCCGCGAGGCTGAATGAGGACGGCGGCGCAGATATATGAAAATAGTGACTTTTTAAATTCTTGTTCTTCTTTTTTGGTTGCTGTATTTGAAGTTCAAAAAAAAATAAACAATCAGCTGTTTTGCTGACTGTTAGTCAGGATTTCTTTCCTTTTTTTTTTCTTTTTTTTTTTGGTTGAGAAAATTAAGGACGGTTCATGGGTTTGGTCTTTTATATTATATAAATAATTTTTGTTCAATTGAATTTAGACCTAGCCCAAAAAAAAAAAAAAAAAGTTAAATTTTTTATAAACATATTAATTAATTAATTTTAATATATAGTTTACGTAACTTCAATTACCTTTCATTTATCCATCGTTTCTAAGCATTTTTTTTATAAGAGTGTGAAAAAATTTTCAGGTTTAAAAATTTTGAGGAAAAGCTTGAAAAGAAAAGCGACCGATGAACTTCGACAATTAAACAATTTTATTTTATTTGAAGTCTCGAGATAAATGATTGATGTTTTGGTTCATGTCATCTTCCATTAAACAGGTGAAAATGTAGATTATCCCAAAAAATATATATATATTTGATGTCACATTCATTTCCATTTTTGCATATTCCCTTAGGGCTCACAAAACTTTATGTGTAATAAAAAGAATAAATATTTTGTAACTTTAATTTGCTTACTTTAGTTGACTTTATTTTATAGGCACAACTCTTCCTTCCATAAAATCCACCACTCTCTCTCTCTCCTCTAAATTACTCTTCAAATTCCAACTTCCACCATTTTCTCTCCTCTGAAAAAGATGTCCACATTAAAGAAAAAAAGTTTCCACCTCTGGTTTTCCAAGCTCCGCCGCTTGCCGGCCGCCTTGAACCCGTCATCGCCACCGCACACGTCCTCCAAAAAACCCCTTTCTCTTGAAAACTCCACCTCCACGGCAGCTGACGACTGTTGCTTCTCCGATGAATCCACCTCGGACTCGGACTCCGACGCCGACGCCGACGCCGTTGTCCCTGACTTCTCTGCTGCTGTTGCTTCCCACCGCTTCTTCTTCTCCTCCCCCGGCTGCTCCAACTCCATCTTCGACTCCTCCCCCGACCACGCCGTCAAGGTCCGGAAGGTTTCGACGGACCCATTTGTGGATTTTCGAGGTTCAATGCAGGAGATGGTCGAAGCCAGGGATCAGCCGGTGGACGTCCGGCGAGACTGGGAGTATCTACTGGATCTTCTCATTTGTTATCTCCAAATCAACTCCCTTGATACCCACAAGTTTATAACAACCGCTTTCTCCGACCTCCTCCTTTACTTGCTGGAATCATCCCAGGAGTCACCCTCCGACCACCGTCTGCGGCGGTGGAATAGCCACTTACACAACTAGTTGATGCAAGAAAAACATCCAAATTTCCACCGTCGTCTTGTTTTACCAATTTCAAGTGAAGAACACAAGAAAATGAATAAGAAAGAAAGATCAAATTCAATGAAATTCAATGATTTGATAATAATCAAATGGGTTAGCTTTTTTTTATCTTGTTTTTGCAGGAGAAAGCTTAGTAGTTGGTGGAAGTTGGAATGTTTGTTCTAATTAGAAGACAAAACAGAACAAGGTAAGCGTGGGATATGCAAAAGAAGGAACTTTTTTAAAAATAATACTAATAAAAAAAAGGGATTTTTTCCCCTCTTTTTATTTTTATTTTTATTATTATTATTATTTTCTAGGAACATAATTGCTGACAACAAGGGTTGATCTATGTCCTTATAGACAGAAGAAGAAATGAGTGGTCCTATTAGCTTATGTTTGGTGATCATATAAATGCTTCTAATTTTATTTTTATTTTATTTTTCTTTTTATAATTCAGGTATTGTTGTAATATAAAAAATAAAACAAGGAAATAAATATTTATTCAACTAAATATTGATAGTCTAAAGAAAATAAAATTAGACAACTTTTTTTCTTTAAAAAGGAAAAAAAAAAAGAGATTTTGATACCAACTTTTGCATCTCAATTACTTAGTACTCAAATAAAAACTCATTCATTCTCGTTTCTATGATTTCGAGCTCAACTTTTTTTCTAAACTTCCTCATTCCCGACTTTGTCTATATGATTTTGAGTTGAACGTATTTTTTTTAACTCATTCATTCCTACAAGCTTAATGTTTTTTTTTTTTATCTAACCCTTTTGCACACTATAGCGAGTATAAAATACTCATTCATTCATATAAGCTTAATGTTTTTTTTGATCTAACCCTTTTGCACACTACTGCGAGTATGAATTGAAATGGGTCATTAAATTGAGGTAAAATCCATTCAGAAATTATATACTTGGGGCTATATAAGTAGCATGGCAGCTTTGATAAACCCAATATCATGAGAGAGAGATTTGAAAGGAGTTTTGTTTGATTATGGAGTGAAGGGGACAAGGAAAAGAGGATCCTAAGAGAGATTCCAAGAGGGCATCTATAAAGACAGACATTCTTTGAGTATTTTTAAAAAGAGGATCCTAAGAGAGATTCCAAGAGGGCATCTATAAAGACAGACATTCTTTGAGTATTTTTATGCATATTTTTGTTTAAAGTATGATCCACGAGATGCTTGGTCCTGTTTTAAGATCACTAATTTGATTTACAATCAAACATTTAGGGTTTGGTTTGGAGTATGTTTTATGTAATTACCATATTTTACTCTATGATTTACAATCAAACATTTAGGGTTTGGTTTGGAGTATGTTTTATGTAATTACCATATTTTACTCTATGATGTTGGAGTAAAATATGTATATTTTATCATCAGTGCCTAATTTGGTGGCTCAATACTTCAAGATTTAACTTCATTCATCCCTAGATAGAGAGAGCTTTGCCAATTTGGCAATGGTGATAATATGAATAATTATGAATTGAGTATTAAATATTCACGTCTATTCTTAAGACATCGGACCGAGTTTTGGTCGAAAAAGGAGTTCGGGATTTCTATAGCTGTGAGAGGATAGGGAGGCTTCCATTATAACTATGAGGTTCTTTTACATGAGATGTAAACTCAGCAATTTTAAGAGATTCCAATGGGTTCTATTCAAAGAGACTAATGAAAGGCTGAATCTGAAAGCTCTGAGTACAGAATTCATTGCAGCACAATCAAACTGATGCATTGGTGAAGAGGTAATCTAAGACTTTGAGAAAAATTTCAATATCATAACACTAAAAAGTTAGTTCCCATTCAATTTTTCCCTCAAAATCATCTATGTACCAAAAAGGTTCTGAATCTTCCTATAGAACTGAAAGTTTAAACAAAATTTCACACAAATATGCATTATAGCAATGAACCATCTGGATGAAACTATAAGGTTTAGCACTACAAGAATATGATTAAAGTTCACGATGGGGTTGGGTTTAGTTTTCACCTGCAGGGCCTACGAGGACTCCTTGAGCTGCACCTTCTTTCCGCCCACTGTCTTCCTCCTTAGCCTCGCCATCAGGCTTTCTAATCTTGATCTTGTATTTGGCCTCCAAGTCAACAATCTCCTTCTTTTTCTTCTCCAAGGCCTCATTGAGTCTGGAAATGACCTCCTCGATTCCCTCTTTGTTGTGTTGAACGGCGGGCAGAACCTCCTTGATAGTTCTTTCCACCAGCACTCCCCCAATCATTCTGTAGCATCTTCTTGATGGATCAAGTGGTTCGATTGCAGAAATGACAAGAGAGTGCTCGCTCGCTTCCATTTCAAGTTCTGTGATTTTTGAATATATCTGATTAAGCTCAGACCTTAAAGCACCGTACATGTTTGCAACCATTTGCTCATTTACAGGTTCCTTGCGTTCACTCTCACTTGCGCTTGCCATTTTGATCTGTAATGTGGTAGAAACTTGGTAAACAACTTAAGAAACTAGTAGAATAACTTTTAACATTCATCCACGCATGAAATATCCAACACAACTCCAAACACCAAAAATTCTAGCGTGAGTTGTGTATGTGTGTGATCATGGATTGGTTTTGCAAGGAATGGCTCTTTGACGGAGGATGGCAACTCCCAATACCAAAAATTCTAGCGTGGGTTGTATGTGTGTGATCATTGAGATGATTTGCAAGGAATGGCTCTCTGTTGGAGGATGAGATCACATTCGTCTTAACAGATGTAGAAAGCGCAAGACAGAGGGTGATGAGGGTACATGTGAAAGTTTTCTTGAGCCAACAGTATACTCGTGGTACTACATGAGTATGGTTGCACCCTTGATTTTAAACAAGATTGAAAACTGTACAAGGGTTTTATTTCAGAAAAGAAATTGTTTAACTTTATGTACTCAAACATCTCGACAANGGGGGGGGGGGGGGGGGGGGGGGGGGGGGGGGGGGGGGGGGGGGGGGGGGGGGGGGGGGGGGGGGGGGGGGGGGGGGGGGGGGGGGGGGGGGGGGGGGGGGGGGGGGGGGGGGGGGGGGGGGGGGGGGGGGGGGGGGGGGGGGGGGATCTAAAACAATATTACTCAGTATATCAAGGAAGTTGTCTTACGTCAAAAGGGCAACCTCATGATCTTTCTTCATCCGACTTATGCTAAAGGTGGCTTTCCAACTTTTCTGGGTCTCTTTTGCTGCTTAATCTTTACTTTCACATTAATCCCATTATCAATGACAGACTGAAGCACGATTTGAAGCTTCCCTTCTATCCTCTCGCCTTTTCTTGGAGTGTATACCAGATTGTGGATATCATCAGCCAATGCTCTCTGGGCCAAAACGGCCCCCACAGCAGCACAGGCAGAGGAATCCTTCCTTGAAGTCAGGTCAAATTTCATGTCCTTAGAAATTGAATGTGCCACAGCAACCACCTTACTGGTGACCCGGTGAATGATGCAGGCTCGAACAGAGGCTTTTGATATGTATATATCAAGACAAAATGGCTCATGGTAAGGAGCAGTAAGCTGATTAAACGTGGGTGTCCTAAGCTTCTTCTCAAAGTCATTGTTCTCCCTTTCAATTATTACATATTTGTTCTTCACATGTTCAGGAAGCTTTACATGGCCACTTGCCAAATGATTATTGGGTTTATCATTCACTTTACTTTTGTTTTGCTGCGTATCTTCCTTTTCCTTTATAGATTTTTTCTTCCGATGAAAATCAAAGCTATATTCTTCAAACTCTTTGGAACCTCGATCAAGTTTATAGAAGAGATTTCCCCGGATTCTCATGTTGTCAATATCATCAAACTCTGAATCACAATAATCAATTGGATCATGATCTTCATCCTCTAAGAAGTATCTATTATCAAAGCCAGATGAGCCCTTCTCTCTCCCTTCCCATGCTCGAGCTAAACTAAATGAAACTGCCCAAGTATCATCGTCTATAAGTTCAACATCATAAGCAACCGAATGAGGTTTACCCTCAGGAAACAGTGGAGATGGCTGAGTCGTGGATGAACCATTTACAATGCTATCTGAATGAGCTACCCTTTCATTCTCGCTTCCAAGGATTCCCTTGGCTAATGCTTTTGAGCCAAAACTGCAGGCCCTCAATACAAAGTGAGGACTAATTAAAGAAAACCCTCTCCTTAAGAACATGAAGCCACTTCAAATTTTGAACAACCAAGGATCCCGACCACCAATTTACATGAATATCAAATGCCTAGGACAAAAAAACAATACAACCCGTAGTGAATGAATTAACTCGTAGAAGCAAAGCATCAAACAGATGGGCTGAATGATTGATGTTGTAAACTTTCACAATTAACTTTGTTCAATTGAATTTGACGTAGGAGGAAAACTCATAAATGTCTTAATTCCTAAAATTGCATCTAATTTGCAATTTGGGTGGATTGGTTAAATCCAAAAAAGCAAACCAATCCAAAAAAAGCTCTCTCCTTACATTTCATCCATGGTGGTCAGAAATCCAAACCCAGTGGTGAAAAAGTCAATTAAGCATAAGATATGGCCAGTACAGATATCCCTCAAATCCAAACCCAGTGGTGAAAAAGTCAATTAAGCATAAGATATGGCCAGTACAGATATCCCTCAAATCAAACTAAGAATCTGGCTTTGCAGTCCGCACAGACTTCCTTCTCCCCTGCTCACATTGTATGAAAGTCGGAAATCCACTTTTGGCATAGATGGGACTAAAATCATGAAGTTGAATTTTTAATAAGACAACTTCCCGGAAATCCACTTTTGGCATAGATGGGACTAAAATCATGAAGTTGAATTTTTAATAAGACAACTTCCTTGATAACTTAACCTATAGATACCCTTCATAGTTCAATTTTTAAAAAAACAGCACCAAAAAGCTAAACCATAGTCTGATATCACCACAACCCATCCCCCAATTACTAGTCATTTACCAACAAAACCTCGTAATTCCATTGAATATGGACAAAAACAATACTAACAACGGAAAGTAAAATTTACCAACAAAACCTCGTAATTCCATTGAATATGGACAAAAACAATACTAACAACGGAAAGTAAAGTAAAAGAAGAGTACTCAAGGTTCAACCACAGTTTAAAAGCGCAATATGAAGCCAGAACCATTGATTAGTGAATTGAGTTCTAGCTCGATATGTTGGAATAAAATCTGAAACCACCATCTATTATAGTTCATAATACAACAAACAAGCACCTGAGACTCTAATTTCAGAGAAATATCATAAAGAAAATACAGTTGCTCAAACAGCTGTGAGCTGAGCCAAAAGGTTTTGGCGCCAATATACAAAAACACAGAAGTCAGCACGAGGAAGGCCAAATTTCAAAACAAAAGCAACTACTCCAAATTTCTGCTAAAGAATATTTAACAACCAACTTAAAGACGAACCCCCGGTATAAGTCCAATCACAAAATAAAACAGATAGCAAAACCTAATCTCAGTCGAAGCCGCAAGCAAAACAGGTGCATGATCCGCTAAGAAATTAAAAGCATTAAAACCTAATCTCAGTCGAAGCCGCAAGCAAAACAGGTGCATGATCCGCTAAGAAATTAAAAGCATTCGATCGCAAACTTAAAAATAGTGTATGTCAGGGAAGAGTACTTGATCGACGCCGTTAACCGGTGCTCGGAGTGAAGCCAAGTGGTGAGCGATTCGGAGGGGCGACGCGGGCAAGCTGCTGCGAGACTGCGAACAGTGGAAGGTGAAATTGAGGAAATTGGGTCACTTCGCGAGGGCAGTTTGGGACTTGACCTAGGATGTAAATAATTTATCTTCTAAATGATGTTCAATTATTAATAAAAATCCCATAATTTTTTACTAGATTATTATTTTATTAAAAAAAATTATAGTAAAAAGAGAATATTTAAAATAAAATAAAATACTAATCATTTTAATCTAAAACTAACATAAGAATATTTAAGTTTTTTTTTTTTTTTTAAGGTTGAAAGGCAAAATATATTTTTATTAATTTAAATACAAACATATTTTCAATAATTTTTTTATTCTAGAAAGCACTACTATTTATTACGTCATTTTCCTAAATTGATCAAATTATTTTATATTTTTCTAGAAATAATAAAAATTATGTAAATCCCAAAAGAATCAAATTTTACACTAAAAAAGAGGGGGAAAAGGGTATAATTGTAATATTCGCGTCGGCGGGGCTTTCTGAATGGCCATTTGCCACCCAAATTTTATTCCAAACAGTTTGCCTTTATAGACCATTCCCCTGCGTTGGATGCCATAAATTTTGTTCTTCTACGTTCCTCTGGCGGGGTCCATCTCTGTAAGCAAAAAAAAAATGGAAGCTACCATCGTCGATTCAGACAGTAGACCGACGATCATGATCACCAACGACGACGGAATCGATGCGCCCGGTATTCGCGCTTTGGTTCGTGTCCTCGTCTCCACTAAGCTGTACAATGTTCAAGTCTGCGCGCCTGATTCGTACGCCTCTTCTCCTTTTTGTCCTCTCGCTTTCTTTTCTTTTTTTCCAATCTGCAAGTGTTGTTGTTTGAAGCTCACGATCATAATCTGTGTACAAGCTCGTGTGTTTTAGTTGGTGAAATTTTGTTCGTTCGTCTGTTTGTGTTTGGTGGTAATTTGTCTGGTTTTCAGTGCATTTGGTGTTCCTGTTTTTTCATTTTGCACATGCCTATGCTAACTTCTTTCCTTTAGAATTTGGTGGCCTTGGATTGCGTGAATTGAGATATTAGGAACTGTCTTATCGGCAGTGTTCTTATTTTTTAATCAATATGTTATGATTTGGTTATTGGTCGTAAGATATTAGCTAAAACAAGTACTTCCCGTTTGTTTTGTTTAATAATACATATGAGATACATATTTGATATTGTGGGGTTGTTTCTGCATTATACAGGGAAAAGTCAGCTGTTAGCCAGTCTATTACTTGGCGTCATCCTATTTCTGCTAAGAGAGTGGATATCGAAGGAACCACTTCTTATGCTGTTTCTGGTGTGTTTTTTTATTCTCTAATTTGAAATATGTAGCTTCCTTTTCGTTTGACTTTGAACTTGTACACCTTACCTATAAATGTTAGTTCGTTGGAGGTTTAGAAAATGTAAATCTTCAATAGTCCTATAACCCCAAGTCCCCTATGGTTTGTTCGTTGAATTTTCTACTTTCTTATGTCCTACAAATAAGCCTGACAATGTTAGAGCTCATAGCAATACTACGAAGCTGTAGCAGTGTGATAGAGTAATGAAGGGTTGGAACGTTTCGATAATTACGCTCAAATGGGGCCTTAGTAATATAAGAGGACTGTTGACATTTATTGAAATATCTGCTTTATTTCTCATGGTCACTTTTACTTGATGGATTTGACTTCAAGCTTTGGGATTTAATGAAATGGTCTAAAATGATCTGCAATGCATTGCCTCCCTTCTTGAGATGTAATGTTGGAGTGTTCTCATTTTCATTAAAACCAATTATAAATGATTTGAACTTCATTCTAGCTGATGTTCAATATTGCTTTCAGTGACTTAATAAGGTTTTAAGGTTTCGTGCTTCTGCAGGAACTCCGGCTGATTGTACTTCTTTGGGAATATCTGGAACTCTCTTTCCGTCAAAACCAGATCTGGTAGCTTTTTTTCCCTTTTACTTCATGGTTTGACTGCAGTATATTGTCTTATCTAGCTTTTTGTGCCTTACTCGCTTTAATTTACTTAACATGTGGATAACCCGACAAGAAGTTAGCGTTTATATTGACTCAAGAAATGTTGTTTCTCAACCTAGACGTGTGTCTGTAATTGCAAATGTGGATTATTTTGTCAAACAACAACTTAATGTTGGATGGTAATGCTTCTCGCAATGTTATCACTAATGATGTATGAAGTTGGTGCATACAAGTTGCAATATGTTTAGCTCTTCCTGCTTATTTATGTATTGTACTTTAATTGCAGGTAGTCAGTGGCATAAACATGGGTAGCAACTGTGGTTATCACGTGTTAGTACAAATCTTGACATACTTTCCCTTACGTAAATCTACTTTGACAGTTCGGCTATCAGTGATATTCAAGTATCAAATATGTACTCAGCATGATATGTGCATGCCCGTAGTGTTGGCAAGAAAAGTTTGCACTTCAAGTATCAAATCACGTGGAAGCCACTAAAGCTCAAATAATTGTTTATCTAACAAGTTAAATGTGCTCTTGAATAAAATAGTGAAGAAAGTATCCTTTTTGCTACAAGCACATGGAAACACCGGGAAATAATATTCCCTAAAGCTTTTTGACAAAACAAATTAGTACTATTCTAAGACGTAGAGACACTTTAGTTTGGTTTGTGTGTCTTTATTTGACACGTGTCAGGCACTTGGACACTTCAACAATTGTTGGACACAATACTTGTTAGCACAATGGATATATGTTAGACATCAACCATAGAAAGTCAATATATTTGTCTAACATTTGTTTGACACGTATCAAACACTTGAATACTAAATAGACACCTAATAATATAGGATGAAATACATCAAATTCATTTTTTAAGCTTATAAATGCATAAACTTATTGATTTTGAATTTCCATCTGATATAAAAATAAATTATATTTTAATAAACTTGTCCTTGCTTTGACCATGTCCTAGATTTTTTTTAAAAATGTTGTATCTATATTCGTGCTTCTTAGGTAATTTTTTTCCCCTTGTATTATTATTATTATTATTATTATTATTTTTGTTATATAAGTAGGTACGAGTCACAATTATTAGATCAACATAGAGAATTCTCTATTTGTGGTGGAAAAGGATTTTGTAACTTTATTGAAGCAGTCTTTCATTTAAACTGCAGTGTGTATTCTGGAACAGTAGCGGGTGCTCGAGAAGCCTTTTTTAATGGCATTCCTTCAATTTCTTTATCTTATGACTGGTACGTATAAAAATTCCCTGCATTGCTAGACTTTATCATATCACTGTTAAGTAATATCTGTTGAGATAGGCTCCATTTTCCTATCAAAAAAGATATGTACCATTTTTTTTAAAACAAGAAAGGTTTCAAATAGAGCAGTAGATGGCCTGTCATCTCGATTGGAAGTTTTGTCCATCATCTTAATTATCAATCTACGTATATCTCAATATTTTAGGTATTATTGTTAGTTAAGTTTTGTCCATCATCTTAATTATCAATCTACGTATATCTCAATATTTTAGGTATTATTGTTAGTTTCTACTCATTTGACTTTTCTTGTTATGGAAATTCAGGGTTGGAGGTAGGAGCAATATAAATGACTACACACTTGCTGCTGAGGCTTGCTTGCCCATAATAAGTGCAATGTTAGCTGACGTCAAGGCTCAAACTTTTCCTCAAAATTGTTTCTTGAATATCGATTTTCCAACAGATATTGCTAAGCATAGGGTAATAAATATTGTAACTCCTAGTGAACATCTTGCCATCTCGTTTTGAGTTACGCTGTAGAAAATATTATGTTGATTGCTTATTTTACTTCCGTGTTATGAAATGGGTGGTTAGCAGTAATGGATATATAATATATTTTTGTGTGTATCATTTAGGGATATAAATTAACCAAGCAAGGTCGATGCATGTACAAACTGGGTTGGAGAAGGGTTACTTCTGACTCTCCAGGAGGTAAAATGTTGTCAACTATGACTATGGAGCCAGCATCATCGAAGGGTTACTTCTGACTCTCCAGGAGGTAAAATGTTGTCAACTATGACTATGGAGCCAGCATCATCAGTGGAATGTAATACGTCGAATGAATCTGAGCTGTTTACGAGGCAGGTAGGTTCCCCCCAGCATTCTATAATTTTTTTTTTAAAAAAAACATCAACATTGATATCTTCTAGTTTAGAGCTATTATATCCTTCCATTTTCAATGATTTTATTTTATTTTTATGATTATTTTTTAAAATTAATAGGTTGAGTATCTCATTTTCTTTTCTTGTAAATACATATGGGACTCTTTCATCTGATCAAATGAGGCGACTTTTGATGCATCTGTTAAGCTAGAGCTACAAGAAAATGTAGCAAATCTATGGAAACTTCCCCTTTCACCTCAACTCCTCACATCTATCGGGCTCAATTATCAACTTTAGTTTAGAAATGCTATTTGAAACTTATGCTATGGTTGCTTATCTGGATCCATAGGAGAGTTTTACTGTACTGCTTGCTTAGGTTGAATTCAGCAGCACCCATGGCTGTGAGTAGTAATGATTCTACTTAGCTTGTTAATAGAAGACGGGACCAGTCTATTCATATTATAGCCTAGTACATCTAGTAATGTGGGTTACGAGAAAGCCTTCACAGACATGCATAGAGACGAACAACGAAAATAAAACATGATTGTGATATTCACCATAGGCCTTCCTCAACAACACCCTTGTCCTCGTGGGAGAAATTTAAAGGATTCTTGGTATCTTCACCTTAAAGATTTTGCACCGATTTCCTTGAATGTATGCAAGAGTTTCTGTCTTTTTCTGTACCCTTCAGTTGATTTAATTGTTGGGATTGTTTTGTTCCTGATTTCTGATTCTTTGTAACATTTAACAATCAGGTCACACCCAATTTGTATTATCAGTTGGAATTATTTTTATTCTGGAGAATTTGACGATTGTTTAATCATTGCTAGCTTAGCATCACTTGGAACTTTATATTTGTAAATGTTAACTTCAAGTTATTATCTTTGTAGGTAATAAGTCCACCTGTTGATGATGAAGATACAGATTACAAATATCTACGAGAAGGCTATGTGTGT